TTATGCTACGGTAATAGATCCACATTGTTCACATTATACACTCATGATTTTTTAAATGATAATTATTAAAAATACACAAATATATCACGAGAGGAAACGCATAGTAAGAACCCAAATCTCCGGCGGATCAGAAATCCATGAGTCGTGGACAGTGACCCGCCACCAGTCCGCCACGAACACTGTCCTCCACTCTCAGATCAATAAACGAGTCGGGAACCTTGATGCCCTCCTCCCACCCTCACCAGATGGAGTACCCAACCCTGAAGGCCATGAGAGAGCCGGGAACGATGATCACCACGAGGCAGACGTACGAGAGAGTGAAGGAAAAAGTGGAGGAGGGGGGGGGGTGGAAATAAAGAGAATAGGAAATGGAAAGAAAAAGGTGGAGGAGAAACAGAGATGAGGGAAGTGTGCGTGTGTGTAGGTTGTAATTTATATAATTGAATCATAGGTCAGTTATCGTTAAGGTTACCGCTGAATTAGTTTATATTTTAGTAGAGTAACACGATAATCCATGTTTTTGTTTATAGAGCCACAGTAAATAAACACCTTATACCACACATACTAAACACTGAATAAAACCCAACTTGTGTTCATAGGTATAGATGAGACAAGAAATTTAATGGTAATAACTTAACTTTATATTATAGCAGCCACATTGGATAGAAAAGGACGGCCATCTTGAAACTTGTCTTAATTTAAGTTTCTAAGGTGGATTTTATTGGCTACACATCTACACTACAGAGGGGGTGAATGAGTTTGATGGTCAGTCTATAATTTCTTAATACAGTACAGCAGTTCTTGGTCAGACTCCCCATTACTCGAGTAATGAGCCAAGGGCACTGAAGCACCCTCCCTCCCCCCTCCCTCACCCGATACTCCACATGGCCAGGAATAGGACGGTAGCCTTTGATCTATATTCCGGGAACCATCTACGATATTGGTGATACATACATTACATTATAATTGGTAACTGTGAACTGGTATTGACTAAGCTGTATTACAATAAGTGTTTTAAATAGTGAACTATCGTGGTTTAATAAAGATAAGACCATTGGTCTGGTTTTCCCTGAGCTGAATAAAATCATCTCGTGCTTGCCGGAGTAAAATCCTTAAGTGTGAAGAGCGCTGATGCCACTGAACGGGTTAAAGGTGCCACCTGGCGGAAATTATCACTACAGTACCAGTATTAAATTGCGGAATATATCGTCACAAAACATAAATTACAATAATATAGTTAAGGTATTATATTTATCTTATCCATGTTTTCATTGTGGATCTACATGAAATATATAAATATATATATATATATATATATATATATATATATATATATATATATATATATATATATATATATATATATATATATATATATATATATATATATATATATATATATATATATATATATATATATATATTTCATGTAGATCCACAATGAAAACATGGATAAGATAAATCTTGATGAAATCACACGGGGATAAGGGAAACAATGGAGCACCTTAGCTTTTGTCTTTTTTCAAGACATCTTCAGAGGCAACTGAAATACATGGACAGATAGAGGCTTAAGTACACAGGGTGACCTTACTAAACATGAGGTCAGGTCATAAACATGACATCCAATAATCCGCACACCAACACCACCACACACGCAGAGGAGCTTAAGAGAAAGGGCGACGTGACTAGTCAAGTTAAATCTGGTTAAAAATATAGGACCCACGAATCAGCTATCCTACATCTAACTCCAATGCTTTAAAAGCATTTTTAACCTTGGGCCACTGAAAATAAATTTGCGTAGCATATTATCAGTTTTGTACAGACCATCACTAAGGTTTATAGTAGTCTACTTAAAAACACCATTAATATTTAATAATTTAAGGGACTGAACTAACAGGATAAATTCATTGCGATAAGGCAGAGTAAAAATATTATTAAGTGTAGGAATTTGCCTGGTTCGACTAGAATGAAAGGATTTATTAGCCCTTTTAAAACAATGATCAACAAACAATGAAGCGTACCCAAGTTTTTGTGCAATGGACTGAATGTGTTTCGGTTCTTCATCAATAAATTCAGCGTCACAAATACGCAAGCATCTCAAAAACAGAGCAGAAAAAAAGATATTTTTTATACGGGGATTACCCCACCCGGGCACAGGTAATGACCCACATCAGGGCCTGGGGGGCGAAAATATAATAATAATAATAATAATAATAATAATAATAATAATAATAATAATAATAATAATAATAATAATAATAATAATAATAATAATAATAATAATATCTATTATTATTATTATTACAACAATTAATAAAATTAATAGCAAATTAATAACAATAAAATAATAAAAATAAAAATAACCATAAATAAATACAAAATCGAAAAAATAAATCAAGACCGAGAACTTACAGTATATACATTATATATGTTGTGTTGTCCAAGTAAGAGAAACAATTGAGACCCTGCAATTGTGTGTAAATGAGGCAGAAAGACAGATCAGTAACCTGGGACTTGGTCACAATTTTCGTGATGCCATATGGCAGCAGAGTCTCCCATTAGACAACACATTATGCTTCCAATATCTTCCCAGGCAGTAGTACCTTCCTGTTTGGTAGCTGCCTATCTACCTACTACCTGTAGATTCCAGGTGACTCGATAAAAATGTCTGAAACTGTCTACCTGTGTAGGCTTTCTGTACACCTTAAATTTATAGTTATGACCATTTCTAATGCTAAGCTTATCAAGAAATGGAAGGGATCCATTTATTCTATAAATGTCATATCTCCCAGAAACAAGTGTAGCAGCTTTGACATAATATTCTTTACCGTATTACTAAAATATTTTAGTTGAATAATCATTTAAAGAAAGATAGTGCGCCTTTGCTCTCACACCAGCTATTGTATATACTGTAATTACAGTGTTGAAGCTGCAATACACAGACAGATTAAAGGTCCACTTCAAGGTGAGAGGCTCAACTTGCAGTGTGTCGTCACTCACTGATGTTCAGTTTAAACATTCTTTGTTTCTTCAACTGAATATAAGATATTTTATAACTGACTCATCACATGTTATTAAAACTCAGCTTATATCCTGTTGCCTATAAGCGAATGGGTTAAAAGTCTTCCATTGACAGTAATTTGTCAGCTGTAACATTACATATTATTTAATATATACGAGTCAAATGATCTGATACTTGCTGTTTCTCAATATTGACCTTTTCTGTAATATAAGGAATTCAATATTGTCTTTTAGGATTAAAGAGCTTTTGAGAGCGGCTGTTTTGATGAAAAATGTTTCACGATCAACTTATCATTATTGAATTATATAATTAACTTTTGAGCACTATTTCTGAAACATTAGTATATTTTAATGAAATATGATTTGTTTAGTAAATTACCGATTCTGCTGATACAAGACAATCTCGACAAATTAATAAGATAAAACTACAGGAACTGTTGATTGTAGCGTTTGTCTACTTCTTCCTCATTAAGATGCAGACCCCAAGAACGAAATCCACTGACTATATTATTAAGTGTTGAACGAAAGAATGGGACAGCTTGAGGAGGGTGGGTGTCCCAGACGGTTATGGCGTCATAGCAGGTCTCGCCGCCTTGTAACGAGACTGCGTGGGAGACCTCGAATGCAACAGTATCTTCGCTAAAAGAGCATATCATGTTTTGCAGTAAGGTCGAGTGTAAGTTGGGCTTGAACTAGATTTTCCACCAAGTTACAGACCAACAGCGGGAGCGGTGTGAGCGAAAAAAAGACTATACGGTAAACAAAGGTTGTTAGAGGACGTGTGATGCTCTCCCAGTAATATCCTGTTACTTTTTATTTAAGAAAATATTCTAGGAACATTTACGGCGCAAGTAGCTCCCAAGATGGTTTTCATAATCAGATAATGTTCACAATATAATCTTCAATTTTATTTCATTAAGCAAATTTTTTTCATGTAGATTATTAGATTATTCACATCATAAACCCTTTGGACATGACGTCACGCATCTTTATGATCAGCTCTTGAGGAACATAACATAACATAACCCGGTAAAACTAGTTTTGTTAATGATAGGGTTTTGAGGTTTTAAGTTCCTCTAATTGTTAAGAAAAAACAGTATTACTCTTTACCGCACACCTGCTGTTATTACTTACTGTGACGAAAAGATTTTGAGCCAGAAATTACGAGAAAAGTGATTGGCCAAAATTAGAAAAGCAGACCTTAAACCAGCTGTCATCCTATTACTTTGATATATCAGTGGAGAGTGAATTCTGCTTTAAGTCAGGGGTGAGTTTGCTCTTATTTTCCCTAAAAATCAAGTAACGTATTCAGTTCTGTTTTAGTTTAGTTTCATTCATTTAACATTCAATTCTACATACAATCTAAAAACATTTGAACAAACAAACTCAACTATATTTAAGTAAACCTCAATATTTTGACTTTGATTAAACCCTAAACAACTTAACTTTACTAAATAAGCAAAGAATATGCTTTCATCAGTATTAACATAAGTTAAGGAAAGTAGTTTTTAGCTATGACCTAAAATGGTGACATTCAAGGATACAAACAGACACGAATTTGTTGTTAGCCATGCCTTTTGTTTGATCATAATCTCCATACGAAGTTACATTGAACTTACTAAAATGAAAACAATTTAAGAACAAAATGTTCACCATAAATCATTGCTCGAGATATTGATCTTGATTCTTGAGACAAAGTATTCCAGTCTCCTTTTCTAACAGCAGTGATCCAAGTAACGCGTCACTTTTCAATCGGAGATTTACCTTTTGGCATCCGATAAAATGGCAATGGTTTGTGTTGTCCAATTTTTCTATTCGTGCAGCCTAACGGCTCAGCAACTGTGAGGCTTCTAGCATATTTAATTTTAAATCGTCAAAAACTACAATAACTTGCATATAAACTTTGGCGGAAGCATTTATCAACTTAATATTGAAAACAAAAGTTTCCTTAAAAATTCTTTGTTATTTGCTTTTCTCTGCAATTTGTTCGATCATGTGTAACCAACCAGTACCTACCTCATTATCGAATTAATGGATATTTTTACACCCAAGAGGCGTAGGGAATGTTATGTCCACACATGTAGTACATATATTTTTTATAAACATGTGCATGTTGGTGGAGGATGGCGTGAGAATGACATCATTTTAACCACTCCCATACCTTTTAATCTACACTAGCCAGTCTCAGCCTAGCAGACGACACCCTCCACTTGTTTTCTCGAAGACTGGGGAGTGGGATGCAGTAGTATACAATATCCGTTTAAACATCACCAGTTAGATATACAGTACAGTGAGTACGTCCTACGCTCTCGTCTGCACATACACCGTTTTTAACAGTTCCAGCAACAACAATGACTACCAACAACAATAATAGTACCAACAATAACAGTACCAACAGTAATAATAGTACCAAGAATAACAGTACCCGCAACAACAATAGCAGTACCAAGAATAACAGTAACAGTATCAGCAAGGTAAAGAACAGCAGTAGCAATAAGAAAAGCAGCTTCAGGTATTGTGAGGTGATAAACGCGTTGGTGTGTTATTTAAGACAGGATGATCCCAGGAGCCAATACACTGCTCCAATCATAGTTGCCAGGCCGTATTGGGGGGGGGGGGGAGGTATTATTGCATTTTCACACCCCACATTCCTACCCCTAATCTATTATCATATTCGAATAATACTTTTAATTATAAGATAATTTTCTTCTATTACATCACCGTTGCAAATGTATAATAACGGAGATAGCGTATCCCAAATTTTCTCTATTTCTTCCATTAGTCTTCCGCCATTGTCGCCTACCTCACCTCCCACAATGCGTGTCTCCATCATAAATGATCACGCGCATTCGTTCCCGTACAAGTCATGCGGCCAATCAAAAGCGATTTTTGGGGGGCAACCAATTAAAATGATTTGAAATCGATTTTTAGTTTGGGTCTCATATTTCCAAATTCAATTTCATTTCTGACCATGGAAGTCTGCGATGGGTATCACTTCAATTACAGTATATGGAGCTGATTGCGAGTTTTTGGGAAGAAACGAAGAAACTATGGTAAATTTGCATAAGCGCACCCCACTTTGTTAGAAAGTAAAAAATATATTTTTCTAGTGTATTTGTGTGTGTTTAGACCGAATACGACCTTCATTTCTGTCGGAAATTGGCGTTTTTTTTATTGATTTTTTTTGTGGGACGTTTTCCGAAAAAATAATGGCTAAGCGAATACAAAATACACCAAAAAACACTAGAAAAACATAAACCAAACCTAACCTAACCTAACTGACTCTCACCATATGATGGAATCACCTATTTCTTACCTTGTTGGTCTGGTTCTTGTTCGTCGTTGGATTCTGAGATTCTTACAGGTTACTAACGCTGATTCTCGCTTAACGGGGGTATAGGTGGGCAGCTATAGTTTCTTTGTTTTTTTCCCAAAAACTCTCAATCAGCTTCATATAATTTAAGTAACACCCATCACAGACTTCCATGGTCGGAAATGAATATGAATTTGGAAATATGAGACCCAAACTAAAAATCGAATTTGATTGGGCCAAAAATACCGCAAATTAAACCAAAAATCATTTTTAGTTTTGTGAGTGCTGAGTTATGAAGGAGACACGCAGTGTGGGAGGTGAGGTAGGCGATAATGGCGGAAGATTAATCAAAGAAAATATTGTTGCAAGAGTTCACAACTCTCTCTCCGAAAATGTTTGCCCGGAGTTTTGAAACTTGTGGCTTCTTAAACCTTAAGCTATGACCCGTAGTGAGTTGGGCATCCACCAGCTCTAGGTATGAACACTCAACTGAGTAGTGCTCTCCAAGATGTTTATCAACTTCAATTAAGTCACCTCTTGCCCACCTATAGTATAAGCTAGGCAACAGCAGACATTTGGAGGAGTGTATTGCTTTTGATATATCATTTATAAAACAAACAAACAACAATGGGCCCAGTACACTACCCTGTGTTACCCAGCTTGCCATGAGTACACATGATGATTTTGTGCCATTACAGAATAATTAATACACACCACTTGTCATGAAGAAAACCTCCAATACCCACTTGGATGCTCCCAAGAATTCTGTACCCTTCCAGTTTACTGTACATACACTGGTCCCCTATGTTACGTTATGGATGTGTTCTTGAAAAAGTGGCCATATTGTGACTTTCCTTAACACGAACCATTTTTTCTTATATACGAGGTGCAATCAAAAAGTTCTCGAACTGTACCGACAAAATAATGTAGCAGTTCTAATCGTTGCTGTCCCCTTCAAAGTAGTCCCCTTGGGAGTTAATGCAGTGGGCCCACCGTCTTTCACACAGCTGAAAGCACCTCTGGAACTCTATTTTGGGGATGTTATTCAGCACCTCCTGCCTGAATCTCCATGATGTCGTCAAATTGTCGCCCCCTCAGCCAGATCTTCATCTTTGAGAGCAGCAAGAAGTCACAGTGGGCTAGGTCAGAGGACCATTGCCATATTGTTTTGGGCCAAAAACTGCTGCGCAGATAGAGAGGTGTGGGCTGGCACATTGTCAGGATGCAGCTGCCATTTCTGTGTTCGCCACTTATCTGGAGGTTTCCTTCTCACATCCTCCCTAAAACGCCTCAGGACCTCAATGTAAAAGTGGTGATTTATTGTCGAGCCTACAGGAACGAACTCTTCATGAACATTTCCCTCCATGTCGAAGAAATATATCAGGAAGCTCTTGACCTGCCTTGCTTTCTTCGGTCGTGGTGAATTAGGAATTTTCCTCTGGGATGACTGTTGCTTGGTTTCTGGGTCGTAGACATAAACCCAGCTTTCATCACCAGTAATGACCTTGAAAAGGAAGTTTCGATCGTTTCTAACATGTTCCTGGAGGACCATGCACACAGTGAGTGGGTGTTGCCTCTGGTCCTGGGTCAGCAAGCAGAGCATGAATTTGGCAGCAATCCGCCTCATGTTGAGTTCCTCCATGAGAATGCGTTGGCATGAACCAAATGATAGGCCAATGATGCTGCAGATGTTGTTAATCTTTTGCCGATGGTCCTCGTGGATGCCCTGATACACTTTTTCAACATTTTGGTTGGTTCTGCTGTTTGAGGGCCGACAAGAACATTTGGGATCCTTAACCAACGTTTAGGGTGGCCATTTCCAAATTTTCAAAAGGGAGGAAATTTTTTTTTAATTTTTATGACACTTATTTTTAACCTAAATGAAACATGTTTAATGATGAGTTGAAATATAAAAAGTTGTATAAAATATACAAAAATACTTAGAAGTGTTGATTTGTCAAATATCACTATAATGTAATGAAGGCTATTTTGTGGTTTTTCTAAAATTTCAATTTTTTTAAATGCACTGTATATGTTACATACATGATACATGCATTCATACAGTAATAATAAAGAACTGAAAGAAATGAATATTCATTTTTACCCCTGCTGGAACAACATACTGTATGCTAACCAAATTAACTTACTTCACAAACTAAAGGAAGTAGCCTACTTACCAATGTGGCCTTCAGTTCCCACTGTTTTAGTATACGTAAGGTGATTTATATAATTCTTTTTAGACAGGCCCAAAAGAGAAGGACAAATTAATGTCCTGCTTGAGGTGGCGCAGGACGGAGGACAGAGTGCTCAAAAGCAGGACGTCTGGCCAGCCTACCGACGTTTGCCTATGTTTGAACTGTGAGAACCACTCAAAAGTCTGGCTTCTGCCCATGGTGTCATCACCGAATGTTTGTTTAAGCATTTCGTGAGTCTCCGAAGCGGTTTTGCCGAGTTTGAAGCAAAAATTGATGCACACGCGTTGCTCCTTTAAGTCTGCCAATTTGTCTTCTCACAAAAATCGCTGAACACCTCTAAGACTAACGCACAAAAACGCTTGTGAAAAAAAGCGTGCATGTATCACCGTGTCACTCGGCACACTGCTTCACGATAAAACTGTTGTGTGATGTCTGCTAGGTCTTCGTATGTGAGTGTGTGTGTATAAATATTGTTCCAGTATAGTGCTGCCCTCTTATGGTCTGTATGTGAATGAGTTGTGAATGAGAAAGTCTCATGCTTCATTGTACTATAGTGAATGAGACAGTTTCCATTCCTTATATATATTGTAGTACTGTAGTTGACTTGTTTGTTAAATAATATACAGTAGTCATTCTGAATCCTGCCGTCACCTGTACAAGTTCCTCAACAAAGCAATTCTTCAAGTACCCGTACCGTGTTTACTTACCCCACCATGAGCAAAGAGAAACCAAACAGGTCTGGACTACAACCTGTTAGCACTCCATGCGGCCAGTCCAGGAACTTTTGGATCACACTTCATACTCCCATGTTAAAAGTTGAAGATGCGTTCACACGGAAATTTTTTCAGTCAACACAAGTAATATAAATAACCTGTAAATGGAGACAGAATACATTTATAACACATTAATTATACAGTTCAGATATTTTATATTTTTATTTACCACAAGGCAGTCTTCTACTTAGGAACACAATTGGCTCTGGAGGTCTATTCGTAAGTCCAAAGTCACCTCTATTGCTTGCAAACAATGTGTTAAATATGAAATATACCTTATGAACAGCACAGTACTCATAATTTACTGTATGACTTACCTGAGATATACAGCCACAAACATAAAAGTTTTTCCATCTCATTGTGCAGTTTTCCTCTTTTCTTACTTATGATAGTTGATTGCATAGGCAAAGAACGTTTTACATGTTCCATATTTCTTTCTTTGAAATCAAGGTTGATCATAAGGGAGCGCAGCTCCAAGAAGGTTAAGAACTGTTGTATATTATTTTCCATATAAATTTTCAGAATATATAAAAAGTTAACGCTACTGAAAAAATTAAAACCGATGAAATACATATAATCATCACACAGTTGAAGTTCCAATGCTTACATGAACAGACAAAGCAAGTGTATCATACTGTCCATTTTTCAATCGTCTATGTCAGAATAAATACAAATTTAATAAATAATTTTTTTTTTATAACTTTAATAAGTATGAACTGTATTCTCCATCTTATTATAAATATACTGCCATTTGTAGTGGCACTCACATCCCACACAAGTGACGATCGCAGGCCACTTGATGTCAAAGTAAAAAGTGATCAATTTTATTAAATGTCTATACATGGGTTCCTGGAGTAGATATGTCAACTTTCCAAAAGTATCTAAACTTCTGATAGTCAATGTAATTAGTCTATTTTTCAGATTTTTTTTAAAGACCTTCCAGTACCACTTGTTCATGGTTTTCCTACATCTTATTTAATTTCTAATATATTTAGTTGATAAAACTCTATAAAAATTAATTGTCAGCACAAATGAAGTAATACAGTACTTTGGACCGAAGGAATATGTAAAAGATATGAAGCTAACTGCTTAATAAGAGACTCCTTTCCTTCTATTTTAGGGATTTTTGTAAAAACTTGTGGATGCTGATCATAATAAGACTTAACAGTGCTTACAAAAGAATATTTCCCATTTTATGACAATCTCTTCACGCTAAACCAAATTAATAACATCAAAATTATACTAAGACTTACTTACTCTTAAATTGGTGTGCTGCTCTCTATCTGGGGTGACTCTTCTGTCCAACTGTTAGATAGTGTGGAATCAAAGTCATTTCATTTTATTAACTCTCCTTCTTAAGTTGATAATCTCTCTTCCCTTTCTCTTCGCCGCAATGTTGCTTCACTCTCTCTCTTTTACAGATACTTTAACGGCAATGTTCGGTGGATTTGGCATCCTGTGTACCGCTGGCAAGGCTGTGGGCTTGTCACACTCGTATTGCCTGCGGTTCCCACCTTTTCTGTGTGGATGTCAGTTACATTAAAGTAACCCATTTTATACATCCTTCTTTCCTCGCACAGCCAAACTGTGGAATGCTCTGCCTTCTTCTGTGTTTTCATACTCATACAATGTCTCATTTCAAAAAGCTGGTTTTCCGGCATCTTCGTGGTGTAAATTAAGTCTATTTTTAATTTCTTTTTGCTATTATTTTTTTCGGCCCCCAGGCTCCGTTGTGGGTTGATGACCTGTGCCCGGGTGGGCTATTCCCCCCAAAAAATATTAAGTAAATTCACTTACCACCAGTTAAGAGACAATTACCTAAATTTGCCTACAGGCACAGGTACTGTATTACTTTGTGTCAAAAGTGTCAAGAATTTTTCAATCATGGAATGTAACCCAGAGTTTACATAGGATTAAGGTCTGTGAGTGACTCCGTTGGCTATATTGCTGCAGCTATCAGAACACATTACAGTGATGTAATTTAAATGGGGTTACAAGTACAATACATGTATTTGTACAGATTTGTAAGGCATTCACTCCTCAGATTGATAGCATAATGGTAGTTTCCAGCCAAGCCAATGTATATGGTGGGGTTTGAGTTCCAACTGTAATATGTAGTTCCAAAATTTGCATTGTATACAGCAGAGGTTGTGTATTTCAAATTCTTGGCCAAAAGTATGATGTGTTACAGAGAATTCACAGAAATTAAAATTGCATAAATAAAAAGAATTCAATGTATTATGCTGAATCTACCTTTAACTTTGCCTCTAAGAAGCTAATTTGTCTTATGTTTCTAAGAGCTCAAGTGGCAACAATCAATAAGAATATTCAATATAAACAGAAGTTAATGCTTTTCAATTTATGACGATGTCCTTGCCAGAGACAACCAATATTTGGTTGGTGACAACAATTCTCTGTAATCTTTGAAAACGGATAAAATATTGTATAAATGCTAAGGGAGACACCGAGATTTGTCATTTAGTTCATAAGGTCCACCACATGTCACGGGTATACAAAAGCATTGGCATTAATATCTTACCTGATATTATTTCAACAAAATTAAGAATGCAAGATTTCTCTAAAGCACTGCAGCATACAGTATTGGATTCTTCCTAACTGAAAAAAAGATTTACCCAGCTACTTAATCTTCGAACTTGCACACTTGAAAATTTTGTCAGTCAATTAAACGACTTGCAGAAACAGTGTTAATGAGAACATTGGCACCGCAAATGTCAAAACTATGAATATGAAACACTTCAAATCCCCAGTTAACCCCTCAAGAATTTTAGAAAGGGCCAACACAAGTTAAAAAAAAAGCCTGTAGACTCCAGGTGGTGTTTTCTTCAAGGGATACAAAGGAGAGAGAAACTTTACCATTCCACAGGAAATAGAGTGTATTTTATATCACTTTTATATAAACACCTTTGTCCTCTACTCTTAAACCAATGTGTTGTTTGTCCCATTATCTCATGACACCACAACCACTGCTCAAATGCCATGATTAACAGACTGTATCAATAAAAGAAAAGACTGCTCAATGTGAAAATAAATCTGCAAAACCTAAAAGGATTTATGAAAAGTATTTTGAAAGTGATAATGGATTTAAAAACTTAAGTTGTCTTTGCCAGAAGCCAACCTGGACAAATAATTATGCAAATTTTGTAGGCAAAAAAATCAATGAATACTGCCCTCTCACAGCTTTCAATGAGGCACAATTTCTCAAGTAGTTTGTGTATGAAAATTAGGCTTTCTGAAACTGATACAGTGGCACATTATCCATTGATATTATTGCATACACTTGTTAAAACTGCTGAATACTTCAGCAGCAAACCTGCTAGTCCTTAAATCCAACATGATGTTCCAAATCAACCAAGAAAAGTGGTCAGTTTCCAGCTACACTGCATACCTCTGTAGGGATGTCAAGGACAGTATAAAAATATCATTTACACTGTATAAAAAGTCTACAACGACTGTACACTATCTACATGATCCTACTCCTTTAGCTGGACACCTAGATGTCTGAGGGCTTCCATAAGTCTGTCAGTTGCATCTTTGCCTTGAGCAAACGACCGACTTTCTGTACACAAAAATTCCCTATTTCAATGCTGGACTTACACAGGAAACCAAAACTAAGTTCAAGCAAAATATATTTAAGGAATGAATTTCACGTATACTATCTTCTTATAAAAAGAATTTCATATTATATCAGTTTGAATGGCAGTCTCTGTTCTAATAATGTTCAAATATAATTTTCAATTATAATTTTTACTATTACAGTTAACTGTGTCTACTTGGACTTGCAGTATAAATTTTTAAAATATTATTTTTTTCTAAACTGATAAAAATTTTCTATAAAACTAATATACAATCTAGACAGGATCATCAGAGTCAATCAGATACTATCAACAAGTATGAATGGAAGCTAATAAAAACAAACCAAAAATAGTATTGCACGGGCATTCTTAATACCAACATAATAAATATGGATTCAACAGATTCAGTACTTTACCACCCATGTATAACCAAGAAAAAAAAAATACAAGTCACAGCTTGTGATCAGAAGTATTAAACCTTTAAGATGTTAATTTATTAAAATTTTGTTCCAAAGTGAGTCTTGATACACATGGTGAAACTCTAGGGTGGTGTCTGAACCTTCCAACCTGAGTGATAATGAACTGAAGAAGACCAACTAACAACTTATGCATTCAGGCCACCAGACTTCCTCACCATTTTCATTTTGGTAGCAGTGCTTCACATAACACATACCTCAACACCAGTGAACCATAACTTATCTATGGAAACTTGTATGTTAAAGTAAACTATAAAAAAAAAAGTAGTTTTTGAATTGGAAAATTTGAATTAAACCCCCACTTTAGTTTTTGACTACATAAACAAATTAAAAGAAAGTATACTGTATGCACCATTACCACTGTAAGGAATAAAGTATAAAGCCAGGTCTGTATTAATGATCCCCAGGTGTGATTCGGTACTGCCATCAGTCCATCATTTCTGGTTGTAATGGAACATCCCTTTATTAGGCAAGTTCAGCTCAGCTGTGACAAAAGAATGGCTGGCAGGCAACAGCATCACAGATCTTTGGCATTCCACATTTGTGTAATCTCCTTCAAAACCAGTCCTAAACATTAATACTGGTTCGCAGCAAAATATTATCTGCACAAAATGCTGCATCCAGAAATTTGAGCAATAATGCATAATGCACTAAACTTACAAATCTAAACTCTTGCCTCTTTCAAGGACGAGATCAAAAAGTGGTGTTCAGGCAATAGTACTCTTAGACTGGAGTACAACATACAAACTCAACCATACAGACCTCATGGACAACTTTTGTGAACACAAGTCTGGGGCATGTGCAAAAGAGGAAACTATCCTCTAAAAATAGACATTCTATTTTTTGAAAAAAAAAAAAAGGAAAAAAAGAAGAAAAAAGGAAAATAAAGAGGAATAGATACAACACTATCACATATCATGGTGTGACAGTGGTTGTGGCAGTCATGACACTGACTTGACTGGGAAGCATTGAACAACAACAAAGATAGTGGCTGGGCTGGGCCGAGGTCTGGTCTGAAACAGGAAAAATGTTCTCCCATCCAACCTTCCTTGGTCCCCCCCATTTCCCCTCCACCACCTTCCTCTCCTTTTGCTTGCCATATGGATAATTATCACTCAAGTGTAGCACAACCACCCTCAGTGTGGAAAATGTGCCGAGGGAAGTGTGTGCGAGATCTGGATATTTGCGGACGTCTTAGTTCAGATCCCGGTCTTCCAAGAACCGGTACTCAAAGGTGAAATTTTCCTTCTTCCGCTGGCCCCAGTTCTCATAGTCGAAGTAGATGTATGTGCCCTGTAAATAAACAGAAAATGAAAATGAATGAACACAATAAAACATTAATACTGTAATAGTAACATCCACTTTAACATTGGTTACCAAGGAAGTACAGGTAGTTTCCTTTCCTATGATATATCCGTACGATCTCCTCCAGAGCAGCAGCTCTGGAACCTCATCACTCATAAATTAACCTTTTCTTTCAATACATTAGGAACTGTCACTCTTCATTTTTCATGTATATATTTACCCCCATCATCTTATCAAAACTGTATGTAATGAATGAGAAACACTAAGCAAGTGACAATATGCCTTTGGTAAGAATAAAACAAGGAAAAGTGTTAATCTAGATTCTAGAGGTTAAATCAGATGTTTTAAGGCGCTATGATGTTGGTGACTGAGCTGTTGACATCACCAGTACAGTACTCTTTTTAACCAGTGACATTAATTGCTACAAGAGGTTGTACAAAGAGAAGAAGAAAGCTGTCCAACCGGCTTCTATACATACTATAGTTTCCCCAACCAGAAGATACCTCAATTTAGCAGAGATTTCAACCCCCTTGAAAATTCACAAATACTACTATGTCATGAATTTTTAAGTTTTAGCACTAAATATTCAGGTTTCTTTAAGTAATTAGTAAAAATGGTTTTACTTAGAAAAAATGCACCAAGTAATGTAAAGTGTTAAATATGCCTCTGAACATAATAATGAAAAGTATTGTTTCATAAAATATAAGATTTTTTTTTTTTCAGAATTAGCCTGATTGTTTCTAACCATAGGATCTCTACTCTGAAGTCTTCCAATGAAGTAAATCCACAAGTTCACAGTATGATATGACGCCAAAAACTGAAGCGACTTACTGGGACTGGCCTATTACATATGACCTGACAGGCTGCTCCATGATATCAACAACAATATCATGTCAGCAATTGTTACCAGAAGCAGGTTAACCCTAATCACATTGTCAGGGGATGTTGGCATGACTGTGTAGGTCTCTTATTATGACCTAAATGACAAGTGTCCTTAATACACACAATCCTAGAAGTTAACCTAACCTAAAATAATTTTTACGTTGGAAATTTTGGCAACAATGTACTCAAAGCTGAAGTACAATATTTTCTCTTAACATGTACAGTACTGTACTTAGTTTGAGTAAAAGTGTTCCAAATAAATGTAATTTCTAGAAAGTCGATCCTGATAAATGTTACTTTAGTCCAGAAACTTAAGTACAGTATAGTTACTCCACAACTGCATAACTCTGTATATTGTATATATGTTGGGCTCAGAAATCGAAAAGCAACCACAACGCGTTGTGGTTGTTTTCAAAATAACCAGAAAGCGAAATTTTGCATTTGGATTTTACCCTAACCTAACCTAACCTATAGCAAAATCTCGCTTCTAGTTATTTTCCAAACAACCACAACGCTTTGTGGCCTCTTTTCGGTTTCTAAGCCCAACATATACACAAAACTATCAGTATTAGTGTTTCTTCAGATCAAGAAGGTTATCGTCCACCAGTGTGCACAATTTGAATTTAAATTTCTTACATATTTCAAAATATGAAAAACATGTACTGTAACCTGTACAGTATATTTTTCTGGGTGACCTTCAATAATTTAAATCAAAACAAACTATTTCTCATCAAAGGTCAATAATCATTAAACTAATTATCATTTACAAGTGAAGTGAAATTTTCCACTCCCAAATAAACTATCTGTGGATGGCTGATACACTTTGACAATAATTGTACACAAGTTTCTGAACATTTTGATTATCTTCAGTAATCATTTTGAGAAGTACACAATGTCTATTGTGAACTCTCTCATCTTTTGTGTTTCTCAAAGGCAGTCATAAGATAGCAGACCCTACATACCCCCATCAACTTAACTACCTCACAAAAATAGTCTTTACAGTCCATCTTGTGATGAAACATAATTAGTAACAGGTTAAATGGGATTGCCTTGAGAATGAAGATTGAAGTTTCCAACTCCTATATGAAACTCAAATGTTTTATCCACAAAATTATTTTGAGAGGCTAACCTGAGGTAATTTGAGAGAGTGGAGAATGACGCAAGTAGAAGGTGAAAGGCTGGCTCATAACACCTGGCAACAACATATCGTCCTGACCTTGACACTGGCTTCGATGCATGTTCTCTATAAGAAACATGTGCCAAGTTATTCAAATCCTGTTTGGATTTGAACCACAGAACACTTTGTCTTAAATGATTTACTTAGCTGTTTTCATCATTGACTACCGGTAGTTTATTTGTTTCCCGAATTAATGTAAATTTCAAATGAATCACTTGTTTGTGTTCATGATGTAATTCTCGTCTGGTGAAACAATTGAAGCTTTTCTACTATTGTCAACATAGAGGATGTAATGAAGTTTAGATTCTGATACATTAAATTAATTATCATGAGTCCTCCATTAACTGAACTGCTATTAACCAGAAATTTACAGTAACCAGATGTTCTTTCATTTACATTTATTTGTGAAAGGATTTAGTTACCCATGCTGTGCCTACTGCCATCCAGATAGCTTACACTTACTGGTGGACCCTAATTTATGAACCTTCAGTTTGCAAAAATTAAAAGTTACAATTTATTTAGCCCCATGCTTTGGTGTACAAACAAAATCCCAGTACAGGTGCTCCTCTACTTAAGAATGTTCAACTTACAAACTTTCAGAGATACAAACATCATCACTGAGGGGGGGGGGGGTTACCTGCCAGAAGAGTTGTTTAATGTGGATGAGACTGGATTATTTTGAAGAAAATTCCAGATAGAACAAACATTACCTAAGAGAAGAATGAGCCAAGTTTTGAGGCTGTATGAAAGGGTATAGCTGTACTAAATATCCATAATCTTTTCATTTTTTACAATATGTTTGGTATCTACAAGAGTAAAGTTGGACTTACAAACAAGCCTCAGGAACGTAACTCGTTCGTAAGTAGAGGAGCACCTGTAGTTATGATTTTTTTCTAACGATAAAAATCAAGTCTTACTAATGATGAAAACATTGAGGATGATAATGAAAATTAAACTGCCAGTGAATGGATGATAGGACCGACTCAAGACAGTTCATGAATAAAACTTAATGTTGGTCACTCTGAACATATTGATAGTGACTGTAATGCTGATAAGGGTTAAGATCTTCAAGTACTGTACTGTGTGTAACCATTGGAGACTTAACCAGGTAGTGCCTTGGCAAGACTAAACACAAGTGGAAGTACTTATAAATATAGAAACACAACAATAAAACTAAACAGGTAAGACTTGAGTTTACCCTCCTTTAAATGGTGATACAACACTTTCTTTATGTGCTTATCTAAACCATTTTCTCTGGTTTCTCATAAGTATAAAATTGCTACAGTACTGTACTGTATAGCATGTACACTAGAACCCCACTAATTTGTATATTTTTCTCTTGGGTAAAATATCCTAAAACCTATAAAAAAAACTTTCAGTCAATTTTAAGAATTATTCAAACTTTGCATGAAATCTACCCACGAGATCCATGTGGTCAGCAGGTTGGAACAGGCAGTTCCCTTTTGTGTGGGTCTACTAGGGTATCAGTTGATATATTTTGATCTTAAGTCTTTCTCTTTGTTAATGTTAACTCCACCCCATGACTCCATGTCTAGAGGTTTCATTACAGTATTGTTAAAAAGGATTGCAATTTTAACAAATATAACTTGCCAATTATTAGTGGTGGCACAGCACATTACTGTACCATACATTTCCATGATACATCCAACATAGCAACAAGATGGTAACACACCTGAACATACTGTACACTATATAAATATTATTAGTGTTAACATAACTTCACATACACCAGTTGTATATGATACAATTAATGTTTCATTAGGGCTTACAAAGCAAAGTCTTTCCTTTTCCAACATGTCATGAGCTAACAAAGTGACATGACAAAATCTAGTTCAATATATAAATACTGTAGTATTATAGTGTTAGCATCACTTTACATGTATTAATTGTATGTTATGTTAAGATTTTAATAAAGTCTCATTAATACTGACTGTAATGGCTATTTGACCTAATGTTAGCTCATAAATTATGCAAGACACAAAGAGGGTAACTGGCTGCCCCCAGCAATCATTAATGATACAAAAATATAAATGTTACAGTGAATATAATCCACAATTAATCCACACTATACTACATATTTTGGTACCTCCCAATAAAACTTGTACTATACAGTATTCCAGAAAAACAAGAAACCTTATGACAATTCCATTATAAAATATTATTATGGAGTGTAAATATTTACCCTCTATTAACTACTTAAAAGTTTGCCACCTACAAAACCCGGAGGCATGGTGTTCAAAACCCAAAGTCCCACTGAGAGTGTTGCCAGGTGAACAAATTTCCCCCCAAATTTTGTATTTGGCAAAAAAAAAAAAAAACGAGACTAATTATGTAATATTAGTTTAATATGGCACCTGACTTGGTAGGTTTTAGATCATAGGTAAAAGACTTGTATAGTTTTCTGAAGGGGAGATGAACAGTATTACTCTACTTTTATTGTGTGTTAAATATATGACCCCCTGGTTTCAAAGTTTGCACAGTAGTATATCGGTATGTTAAGGCCAGTGTTATAGTACCTCAAGGTTTTCATTTACAAGTACAGGTAATCCTCGACATATGACCGCCGCAGTCGTATAAAATATTTTTCAAATTACGTATTTTCGAGTCCCGACGTAAGTGATCGCGCTGTGTACTGACCAAATTTTCGTTTGTAATTCCATTTAAAATGGCTGGCAAACATAAAAATGAGAGTTCTCGTGGTGCTGAGAAGAAAAAGAGACACCCATTTTAGATTTTCTATGTATTATTTTCGCCTATTTGACTTACGACCTGGTCGTCGGTCCGGAACCCCGTTGTAAGTCGAGGAGAGACTGAAGTGTTTAATTTAGAGTATTGTGATCTTACACATCTTCTAACAAGTGTCTGTCCTTAACCTTGATTATGGGGATTTATACCGTACTGGGAGGGT